AGTGCAAATCACCAAGCTGCCCTCTTGCTTAAAGAGCCTTACTGGCTCTCTGTCACCTTTGGATGGGAGACGTGGAATTTTTCTTGTGAAAACTGTCTACAGAAATTGGTACAGATTCCAGGTGAAGAACCCATGGACCATGAGAGACCATCTGAACTCTGTGTTATGAATGTACAGATCTCATCTGCCGCCTCTGTTGCCATCATCGGCACCCACTCCTGCTGTCACTTCAGCCCTGTACAACCACCCTGAGCTACAGAGAGGTTCAGAGCATGGCCTCTGCCTGGCCTCAGACTCTGGCTCTGCACTTAGGCTTCTAGGAACATGTTATTTAACCTCTGTATATCTTAGCTTGCTCCTTTCTAATATGGGAATAATAGTAGTAGCTATCTCATAAGAGATTTTGAGGCTTAAATGAGTGAATACATATAAATTACTTAAGAGTCATAGGTGGCGTGTAATACACACTGAATAAGCTTTAGCTATTTTTATCAATGCTATGGTTTTATGTATTTGCACATATTACTTTCTTTAGCTAGGATGCCTCTCCACTTTCCCATCCCACCTCCTTTTCACTGATTCTATTTCATCTTTTAAGATGCAGTTCAAACTTGCCATCCATGGAAAGACTTCTATGGCTTTCCAACAATGCCTTCTTACACACAACTCTACGCATTAGTGTTGCTGAGTACAGAATTTGTCATTTACATTTAATTACCCAATGACACATATGCCCTATGAGGGTATCAGCTGTTTCTTCTTGTTTACATAGTCCCTGGTTTTACCAGTGTACCTGGCACATGGCAGGCTCCCACTAAGCACCTGTCAAATGAATGAATGAATCAATGAATGAGTGAATGCATAAATGAACATCTTCCCTTCCAGGGAGAGAAAAGCTTGTATGCCTTGAACATAGGTTTGTGAGTCTCCAAATACTTATTACTAGCCTAGTGCTTTGCATGTGCTCAAAAATGCTTTCTGAATTGATCTGAAACGCATTCAACTTTACTCAAATGATAATTATCTTTGGAGAAGTCTTTAGACCTTAAAACCATGATCCATACTATATATTTGTTCCAGCTTTCCTCAAAATAGATTCAGAAGTTTGGGGACCAAACAAGAAGAAAACTGCCATAGCCAGAAAACTTCTAAGGGCTTTCCTCTCATGAAACTTCTAGCAATGGCCCCCATTTAGCCACCTGTGTGTGCATCCTGCCCCATCACATGGTACATACAAGAACAACACGGAGACGACTCCTCTCTGCCTTGGCTGATAAACATTCATCAAAGAACACAAACTTCTCAATAGAGCAGAAAACAGGAAAAAGAAATGAAAAACAAAAAGGAAGATTAGTTTGCTTCAGTCACTTTAAAAAGAAAAAATGTACATGAGGCCAAATCACTGGAGTCCTTGAAGCCTAAGATGAAATGAAGCTCCACAGCAAACCATGGTTCTGTCCCTTCGAAGCTTATGCCTTTACAGAAAGTCTGCTCTACACAGGTCAACATCTTGTGGGCAAGAGATATAGTGAGACAGCACAAATTAACTCCTTAAGCATCACTGCGACTCCACATCAGTCTTTGGGAGTACATACGTTAAGGAGCTATTAGGAAACAAAAACAGAAACAAAAAACTAAATATGACTCAACAGTCCTGATAGTTTATAATGCATATACAATGGGTTCACCTGCATCCTTCTGATTCTCTATTTGAAAGAGAAAGCACAACAAGGAGAGAAGAGAGAGAGAGAAACAAGAACACATATGCAGGATTAATGAGCAAGTGAACCAAAATGCCCCCCACTTATGTGTGACACATGATATTGGAAAGGAAAAGTTGCCCTTGAGTCCCCACCGCCCGGAAGTGTGGGGGCCAGCAAAAAAAGGCTCCTTCACAGACGTGAAAAATGCTGCACAAATAGAAAATTAGTGAAATTAAGTTTTAATGTGAAATCAAGCTATGAAACATACATGAACTCTCCAAGTGACAATTAAGTCATATGTTCTAGCCAGAGCTTAGAGGACGAGGACAAGTTCAAATCTTCAGAAAGAACAAGGAAAAGCTTCCCAGCTTGCGCGAGAACAGACAGGAGGCATATAAGAACTCATTTTACATAGAAGGGACCACTTGTGCGATCTTCTACCCACAACAGTTTGACATCTTAAACATGGAAAAGAAAGCACGGTTTTGCCCCAACTGTCCTTTTCCTGACACCTCACACACGGCTTCCCACCTAGCTGCTATCTTTTGATTGTGTACCAGTGACAAGCACTTTACAAATTGGGGTTACACACAAGCAAAGTAAAAATGCATTCAGGTCACAGACAGAGAATAACTGAAAAACTTACAGACAAAACTGAGTTTATCACAAACAAATGGCTTAATTGTCTAACCTGTGTTAGGCTGATAAAAAGTGACTGGACTTCTCACACTGGGTTTCACAGACAGAATCAACAGACAAGCCAATGCTAAAAAACTTGAAGCAAGGAGAGTGAGTTGATTTGGATCTGGATTTTCTTGAAATAATGAAAACAGAAAGAGTGAAGACAGCATGGTGAGGAGGTGGTAGGTACTCACGAATGGTTAAATCCATCACTTGGGAGGCCAAGCAGAAGACAGGATGCTCATACATTTCTCTCTTTTTCCCTATAAAAGAGGATTTGGGCATGCAAGAGGCTTAGGTCAGAGGTCAAGAGGTTAAAGGTCATAGGTTAGAGGAAAACGTTACATTAGCTCAAAGGAAAATAGCCACAGAATATTTTGGGATAAACACAGGATAAAAGAAAAAAGGAGTATCAAAATTGGAGATCTACTGGATTAACCATTCAGCATGCCGTGAGTCACGAGAGAGATTGTGACCATGATTTTACACGTCTCTTTAGAGTTATTTGCAAGAATACAATGACCGAAAACATCATGATAAAGGGAAACAGAATTTCATTGATTGAAGGCTCCAAGATACTAAGGATTTCAGACTTTAGTATCTAAGGCTCTTGAGGTATTTCTTCATAAACATAGTCTCCAGCAATATTACTATAACTTCTTTCCAACATTCTCAGGGAACTAAGCTATTAATGGTCACAGAGAAGCTCAAATGTCAAGATTTCTTTTCTGGGGGTAGGATCAGAACCTTGTAAAAGAAAGTTGACTGGTAGTAATATCTTTAAAGCTGCCATGTCTCAGCCTATGGTGGACTATGTTCATGAAAGAAAACCTGATACATGCAGCCAGAGGATGTTGGGTTGTCTGAATTAACAATCCCAGCATGCTTTGAAATTGGTGTCACAGCCACTTTTGCAGAGGTAAAGTCAAAAAGTGGCTGAGCCAATCACGGACAAGGAAGGAGAGAAGCAGAAGAGAGCAGGTAGTGTGGAATGAGGTACTTCTCTGACAAGAGAGTTGGAAAAAAAAGATTGATTTCTTCAAAGAATCCCCAGACCTAAAAGTCACAGTGCAAAAGATAATTAACACAACCAAGAAGAATTGAGGCACAAAAGGAAATTACAGACCAGCTGATCTACTTTGGAAACGAATGCATTTTTACTTACAGATCTTAAAGTTTGTTTTTGGATATATTTATCTGAAAGAAGAGAGCAGATCTTACCAAAAGACTAGTCATAGCTAGACCAAGACCTACGTACGAGTCAGTGGACATGGCAACCGAACGTTTCTTGATCCCATCCCATCTCTGGCCTGGCCTAGAATTATTAGGTCCCCAGTTGACTTTAACAAATACAACCAATCATTATGTCCTGGCAAGGTAAATGCTGGAATCATTATTTGCTAATATAGCCCTTTAACAATCTACTTGTTCCTCTATTTTTGTCACTCATTACCAAGTCAAGAGTTGATAAACATCCTTTTAGTGCCCAATTCTTAAGTGTTTCTCCCTGGATGCATAACAACGAATTCATTACCACTGGTACACAATTTGCATTGTCAGACAGACAAAATTGAGAGAGGGAGGACATGGAATGTACAGAACACTGCAAATTTGACACGATCTTAACCTAATTCTCTAAGGAAACAAGAACTTTGGCAGGGTAAGTGATGGGGCTACAGTAGTTAATTAGGTCTCTCTCTCTTTTTTTTTTTTCCCCCAGTCATGTCCTAAAGGCAGACAATGGGTATTTGCTGGATTGACTGGGTGTTTCACAAGGGAGAGAACATCGGATTCCAGAATGCGGACACAGCGAGTTTTGCACACAGAACTTCCACATTTATACACTTACACCACGGGTCAAGTTGGGTGTGGTTTTCAAATCACCCTATAGCAGCCAACAGGGTAACAATGAAAAGTAATTAATACCTTTGCAAACAAACAGGTCCCAAAGAACCATATCTTCTCAAGTAGGGTGGACTCAAAGTGCCTTTGGACGATTACTTGGTCATTAGTGACCACATCCCTAAAACCTGAAAGGGGAGTGATAACAACCATCCTAGGTTTGGAGTAGCAAGATTGAACAAGATCTATAACAAACCAGGAGCCATCAGAGACAGTGGAACACTAACCTGCCATCAAGTTTGAAAAGCTACCAAGAGACAAGATATGTTCAAGGGGCAAGAAAGAGTTAAGCAAAATCTTGACGTTGCTTTATTCAATTCTTGTTTTACTTCCAATGCAATGAACAGTGGACAACAAACTGTTTAGCTTTCCTCTATTTAAAGAAGGTAGCCATCCTACAGAGCTCTTTCATGGAAAAACATTAGCCGCAGAGCAAAGTTAGGGCCAACACCAACTCCTGGAAGGATCTTAGTTGTCCTATGACATCCTATATTCAACATCCTTTTCTACAAAGACTGTTTCCTGAGGCCCTGTTCTTGAACTCATTTATGTGGCCACAGCCGAGGAAGCTATCACATTTCAAGTGCTTTCAACTTTCAGCTTAAATACAGAGGTGGGCCACTATTTTCTGGTGCCTGTCAGGAAAGAGAAAGACTTCCCCAGGGAGGCATACCAAAATTTCAGTTAAAAATTGGGGGCAGAAGGGGGTCTTACCTTCGATTTTGGCATACTCTGACAGTCGAGAATAGTTGACTAAAGCAGCTTGCTCTAGACATTTACGGATGACTGCTTTTACCTCCTCTTGTGGCACTGGGGTTACAATGTCTTTCATCAAGACCTACAGGTGAAAAACAAGGTTCTTCAAATGGTTCAATGAAATGTGTTACCCATTCATACTTAAATAATTCAGTTTAAAATTAATTGTGAATGCCTCTTTGCAACTTAATATTGATCAAGCACCACGGTTAGAGACAAAATAAAAAATTCCAGTGCACAGCTAGGCTGTCAAAGCCTGTCCATGATTCATGAAAAGGTTAGGAGCATATCATCAATATATCTTAATTATTTGAGAGACTGGCAGTTTTCTCATATTTATTCTGATATTTGATTAACGGTAAAAAAAAAATCTTCTAAAAACGAGAAGTGAGGTAAAAAAAAACGGTAAAAAAACCTTCTAAAAACGAGGTCATTCAACCACAATATTTCATCACAATGATGTTCATGTCTCTGTGTACATGTCATCTGTCTTTTACTTTCATTCTTACCCTTTCCAAGAGTGAGAGGGTAGCTTTCAAAGCACCTTCAGGTCGACCAAATGGAAAGCAATACCTAAAACAGACAGAAAAATGTTCAGGTTGCCGAATCGATTGCATTTTAGCATGAAATATGCTATAACTTGATTCCTATGGCAACTCTCTCTGAGGAACAGAGAATGCTTTTTATTTTGTCACGTTGTGTTATGTTAATCTGAATTCACACCATATATGTGTGTATATAATGTATATATATGTGTATGTGTGAATAATGACTAAAGAGAGACTCTGCAAATGTCTGCAACAGAAAAGAATATTTCCAGTGATGACATAAGGTTCTGTTTAGATTTCTATTGTGAAGCAGAACCCTTTGTTAGCTCAATTGTGACCTTATATATAATTATTGAGACTGGCATTAAGAAATAGTTTTAGCTGAAAGAAGCTAAACTTCAAACACACCTAAATCCCTAGAGGATTAAGATAGGAAATACAAGAGTGTATTTTGAGCAAATTCATGATTCTGCTAATTGTCTTGCCTTGATTGTAGTTTTTAATTGCTATTTGATCTTTTGTTACTGGCAATGTATCTTGCATAGAGTATACAACCAGTAAGGATTTATCCAGGGTTTTTTTTTTTTTTTTTTTTAAGTGTGTATCACACACAGATTTTTATTTATTTTTGCTGCACCACATGGTCCGTGGGATTTTAGTTCCCCAACCAGGGGTGGAACCTGGGTCCACAGCAGTGAAAGCCCGTGTCTTACCCACTGTACCAGCAGGGGAGTCTCTATCTAGGAGGTTTTTTGATGACACAGATAGTTCTAGTGACTATTTCGGGCAGTCATAAGCCTTTTAAGACACTGCCTCACGGTACAAAGGGAACAGGACAGCTTATACAAAGAGGGCTTTGTTCTTTTAGTGGAAATAAAATGAACTTAAGATTTCTAAGTCTCCAGAGTATTAGCAAACTCTTGTCTTATGCTATGTTATAACTTGATTCCTATGGCAACTCTCTGTCTGAGAGTTGGCTTTTTCATTCATTATTTCACGTTTTTTTTTATAGCTGGTTTTCCACATTGTACTGGTATCAGATGCACAGCAGAAGTGGTTCAGTTTCATATATATATATTTTTTTTCCTCAGATTCTTTTCACTTATAGGTTATTATAAAATATTGAGTTTAGTCCTCCATGCTATCTAATAAGTCCTCATTCAGCTGTTTTTAAACATCCAGTGTGTCTCTGATAGATTTATAGTTTTAGAAAATCAAGCCCTTAATAAGCCCTTAATTTGCCCCTCCCCGGGCTCATTCTCCTAAAAAGCCCTTTAACCCCAGATCCTTACCTAAAATGTGTAATCTGATTTTCCAGGAGAACTCGGAGCCTCTCCTTGATTTCTTCAAAACGTTCCTTTTCTTCAACAGTCACAGTTCCAATCCCATCGGGCCTGAAAGGAGACATGTCACGAGGCGATGGGAGCCTCATATGCTGACACCATCAAATCAAATCTCTAGCAGGAGGAAACTGTCCATTTCAGAAGAACAACTACAGTGATCGATGTGACCTTAGGAGAAGTCCCGCTTCTCGGCCGGTGACTAGAGGGGATGGGGTACGCTGAGGTTATCATTTGGAGACATTTGCAGAACTGTCGCTCATTTATTGTGAAACGGTAAAATGCACAAAGTGGTGGCTTGCAGGTTAAAGCAGCTTCTAGATCTGTTCTGTTTGGATCACAGCTTCTGAAATTTTGAACCGCTTGCCAACATCTGTTTTTTTAATTAGGTAAGTTTTATTATACAATTCTCTTAGAAATGTGGAACAACTGGCATTAATTGGCAAGGGGCAGAAACAGCTTCTTCCTTGGCTGTGGCAGGTCGCTCTTCTAGTCCACATTTCTATATGTTACCTGAATCTCTTGCAGGCACTTAGGTTTGAGACTCCTGAATTACGCACACAAACTCCTATGAAAACCAGGTGCCCCGTAAGTGTCTATCTTCCCCAGAGCTCAATGCCGATAAATGACTCAATTTCCATAATTACAGATGTTCAGATTAATTTAACCACTTATATAGTAACTAAAGAACAAATTACAAGACAGTGTAGAAACTGTAAGACCTTTATAAAAGAAACTGAAGAAAACAGATGGAAATATCTTGTGTATATGGACTAGGAGATTTAATATTGTTAACATATCTATACTGTTTAAGTCAGCTATATATTTTATGCAATCCCTATCAAAATTCCAATGGAATTTTTTTCACAGAAATTCTAAAATCTGTAAGGAACCACAGAAGCCCCAAATAACCAAAGCAATTCTGAGAAGGCCAGAATAAAGTTGGAGGCATCATGGTTCCTGAATTCAAACTATAAAATTGCAGTAATCAAAACAGTATGGTACTGGCATAAAAACATACAGATCAATGGATCAGAGTTGAGAGCTGAGAAATAAACCCTCGCACATATGGTCAAATAATACTTGACAAGGGAGCCAAGTGTAGTCAATGTGGAAAGGACAATTTCTTCAATAAATGGTGTTGGGAAACTGGATATTCACATACGAAAGAATGAAGTTGGGCCCTTATCTTAGAACACTCACAACAAAGAACTTGAAATGGACTAAAGACCTGAAACTGTAAAAATCCTAGCAGGAAATATAGAGGGAAAGTTCCTTAATATTGGTCTTGGCAATGTTTTTTTTTTGAATATGACACCAAAAGCACAAACAACAAAAGCAAAACAGACAAGACAAAAAAGTGACACTTTAGCAAACTAAAAAGTTTCTCCATAGCACAATGTTTAGACAATCTATACAATGAAAGAAAATATTTGCAAACCATCTATGTGATAAGGGGTTACTACTCAAAATACAGAAGGGACTCATAAAAAAACAGCAAAGACCCAAATAACTTGATTAAAAATAGGCAGAGGACACAGACATTTTTCCAAAGAAGACATATAAATAGCCAGCAGGTACATGAAAAGATGCTCAACATCATTAATCAACAAGGAAATACAAGGAAATACAAATCAAAACTATAATGAACTATCACCCCACACCTGTCAGAATAGCTGTTCTCAAAACAAAAAGACAACAAATAAATGCTGGTGAGTCTGTGGAGAAAAATGAACCCCTGAGCACTGCTGGTAGGAATGTAAACTGACACAGCCACTATGAAAAACAGTATGGAGGTTTTCCAAAAATTGAAAATAAAACTGCCATGTGATCTAGTAATTCCACTTCTGGGTATATATCTGAAAAAAGGAAATCACTATCTTCAAGATACAACTGCACCTTGTATTAACTGCAGCATTATTTACAATAGCCAAGATAAGGAGACAATCTAAGTTGGGTATTGACAATATTATCGACACAGATGAATCGATAAAGGAAATGTGATATATACAAAGTAGAATATCATTCAGTCACAAAAAAGAAGGAAATACTGCTTTTGTGACCACATGGATGGACCTTGAGGGCATTATGTTAGGTGAAATAAATGAGACAGAGTAAGACATACAGTGATATGTGTATGATAAACATATATCACTTACATGTAGTATCAAAAGAAGCTGAACTCATAGAAAAAGAGAGTAGAATGGTGGTTGCCAGGGTGAGGGAGTGAGTGAAATGGGGAAATGTCGGTCAAAGGGTAAAGCTATAAGAAGCTATAAGAAGAGTAAGTTTTGGGGATCTAATATATCCTATGGTGATTATAATGAACAGTACTGTATTACTTACTTGAAAGTGTTAAAGTAGATTTTAAATGTTTCCAACACACACAGAGACACACAGAGACACACAGTAAGTGTATGAGAGGATGTAGGTGTTGATGAACCTTATTTCAGTAATCATTTTAAAATGTATACATGTATCAAATCATCACATTGTACACTTTAAACTTACATCATATATGTCAATATCTCAATAAAAGCAGAAAAAACAACAAACCACATCGGCTATCTTTTGATCTTAGTGATCTGCTGCTCATTTAATAAAAAGGAATGACCCAGCATAAATAAGTGAACTTCAGTTTAGTCCCAGTATTCTCATGTTTCTGAATCACCAATAGGTTCACACACATTTTCCTTATTTCCTCTGGCCCATTCAAGTTGAGAATACAAAGGAAGGCTGCATATTTATAGCCCAAACTTATCTGTGCCAAATTAGACGTAGGATAATCTGACCCATTCAAAGTCTTCAGCTACCCAGATCTTGTAGTGACTTGTTTTGACTACTGGCTGAGCCAGTTTGCAGATTGGTGCGTCACTATGAAACTTCTATTGGAACATTCTTCAGTTTGCAAATGCAAGTCATCTTGAGACCAAACAAATGGTCTTATTTATAGGCCTTCTCAAGGATCCAGCAGAAGTTGGGAAAATCCTGTATACTAGACCAGTCTGACTGCACAAAAGACTTGGCAAATGATAGCAGTGTACCTCCTGTTAGGGGTTTATTGGTCAGCTTCCCTTCTTTTTAAGTACTAAAAATGCCTTATTTGAAAAAAGAAAAAACTTCCTCTCCCCCATTTTGTAGAAAATACCCCTAACAGTAAAATCCTACACTGTGCATTTACTGACACCCTCCTGAACTTAAGTAAATGCAAAACAGTAAATACCAGGTAGGCAGTTTGAATCTATACATGTGTCCTTACATTTAAATTTTCAGAAAAATCTCAAATGTTACTTTATGAAATTTATTAAAAAAACTTTTTAAAACATGAAATGCCCACAAATCTGTAGTTAAACCTCAGGATGAATTCATTGGCCCCACAAAATACACGTGACACTTTCTGTAGTAACATCTCATGTGTCTGTTATAATCTAAAACTTCCTCTGACTATGGCTTTTGGATTTTGTTTACACAAAATTCAGCTCACTAATGCACTGAATACACATTTATACAGTCATTGTGTGTGCATACCTGCAATCAATTTGGGAAAAGTTGAGCCATTTTAAGCATTTTGTTTCTTAGTGGGGAATTAAGCCAGAGAAAAATGCTATTAAATATACGGCACAATTCAGAGAGGAGTTTATAGATCACTAGAAAAGCCTGAAAACCATTTCACAGAGGCAGCCAGAGATGTCTGTGGCCATTACTAGGAAATAAACCTCTTTGTGAAGAATATCATTCCTTCCTTACCCAACAAGCTTTCTAAGGCAATTAGGCAATTAGGAAGCAGCTCTCAGATTTGTGTTTGAGATGATAAAAACTGAACATTTAGTATGTGCCTGGCTTTCCTGTAATTCTCACTATAAATGGCATTATAAACATAACACTTATGATGTTTTCCCCTTTTGTTTTAATGATTCACATTTATAATGATTAAATGTATCAGATGGCAGCTTCCATGTCTCCTTGGATTACTTTGTGAGCACTGTTAATCCCTCTATTCATAAAAGGTTAACAATGAAAAATTGTTATCTTTTCCTAAATTTGCTTCTTAATCACCTATGGCAGTGTGAACACTTTCATTTTAAAATAAATGAAACAAACTAATCTGAGTCTGTAAGATGCACAGTGCAGAGTTCACCAACAAAAACAGGTGATAAAACATATCACAACTTAAGACATCCAGCATACATTTATTTGTAATTGCCAGAATTGCCCTGAAATGATGCTGGTAATGGGGGATGTTATTTTACAAATCGAGGGAGAGAAATGCAGGAATAATAAAATTTGTCTAAGATCACAGATTGTCACTCTTATCAGTTAAAACGCAAAAATAACCTTGGCTGCATTGATTTCTTATAGTTTTTGAAAATTCTGTCAAACATCAATTTCTTTTCCATTGACCCCTATAATTCATCAATGTTAACTGTATAGGTTTACATGGATCTACTAACTGAAAAATCCTGTTCAATATTCTGGGGAACATGGTTCTCCCAGAAGCAATAAAATACTTTCCCTAGAACAGGGGCCACACGAGCCTATCTTAGAATCACACAGAAAGCCTGTGAGACCTCAGACTGTGCGGCTACCTCAGACTGTGGGTGTGTGGGGGTACGATTGGTTGGGTGGGGAGTACCTGAGAACTGGCCTTTCTAACAAGTTCCCTGATCCTGCTGGTTTGGAGAACCTTACTTTAAGAACCACTGCCTTAGAGAGCAAGAAAATATTTGGTGGGTGGCCGAATACATGAAAGGGTATTTTGGTTCAGGATTTCTCTTGGATTAGAGTGAATCTGGAACCAGAGATTTTCTCTAAGAAGTACACAGTCCACTTAACGAAGCTAGCAACCCCTTCCAAAAATGGCATTTGCACTGTTTCCAAGGTGCCATTCCAAGCAGTTCTGGTTGCAAAATAAACAGAAGAACTGTACTGGTGTCGCTCAGAAGCCATGCTTTGTTTCTGCGTTCTGGAAACATTTGGGGGTGATTCTATAATTGTCATAAAACTGGCTCTGCATCCTGTTCTTCTCTCAATACTTCTAACACTTAAGGAATCAA